TGGAAATTCATTTCCTCCGCGAATGGTAACCGCCTCTTGAGATACCAGTTAAATAAAAATATTCAGAACCGTAGCAGATGGAAGAAAGGCAAGTTCTCATTTGTATAACGAAAACTTAGTGCAGTTCAACTATAGCTTGAGTAAATCGTAAGCAAATTCAAATGTGGCCGTTACTTTGATCATATTGAGAATAAATCGTAAAACAGTAATTTCAACAGCAGAAAGTATTCCACAATTATTTCCGTCACGATTTTTGAAGAGGTAAATAGATTCATCTCAAGCTTCGTGAACCATATTGCTTTCTCGGATTTCAGAAAGCAAATCCTCCTGTGTTATAATTTCGCCTTTATCACTTAATGAGTATTATATTTGAGAATTTCCGATGTGTCAGAATAGAGTTAACAAATCTTCTCAGAGCTTAAGTAAACATTAGGTTGGATTAGAAGAGGGCAACTACCTGTGTATTTGTTTGTCTTTCATAGAAGTAAGAAATGCGCCATCTCTATGCCAATGGCTGTACGATTGTTTTGAGTTATTAATCCAACTCGCTCAGGGGTTTGTGAAAAAGTAGGCTTTGGTGCAAAACAAAATAAAACTCTATACAAAGTTATGAAAATGTTCACTTCAAGAAGAACGAAGAGGAAGAGAACAGGCACAATACTTATTTCAATCTTATCATTCAGTCTAGCCTACATAAGGAGGAACTTTCCCTATTCCACCCTAATCAAGTTTTACAAAAAAACTTTAATTTTTGCAGAATTTTTTTTCCCAATGCGCACTTCTACTTCTCATATTTGATGAAGAATTATTACAATTTAATTAGAGCTGCCATGTCTTATTTCTGGTATGCCACATTGATTATTAATGGAGTATTTTCCACATGAAAGATACTTAAAATCTAATGCTTTCCGGCAATAGATGAAAAACGAAGTTTTTAATATGAAAATATTATAGAAAATGAAAATTTCGTTGTTTTGAGTCAATTTTTAATATTGTCTTTAATTGTGCTAATAAGTGTAAAGGAATCACTTTACTCCCCAAAATTATTCAAATACTTCCCATCTTATTAGTTGGTGGGTGTTTGGTATTTAAGATGCTACGATCATATTCTTATTGAATTAAATGGTTTCTTTCAGGTGGTCTAAAATCAAAATTTCAGTTGGCAGTTATTCCCTATGTATTATGCGTGAACTGAGTGTTCAGATCTATTCGTGAAGACACTTTCCAAGATAACATTTGAAGTGCTGTTCAAGACATTTAACCAAAGTGTACCAATGTAGCCATCATGGATGATCCAACTAGTGCTTCGGCATTAATATAAAGGACGCCTCGCAGACTATACCTATTTAACTTCAGTGAGAAATTTAATAACTTGCTTTTAATTTATACTTGTAAGGCCAAGTAATGGACCACATACTAGCTTTCAGACAGTAACTAGAGGAGTCATCCTAGAATCAAAACTAGCCACACAGCAAAGCAACTTTGTATTTCTTAAGACCATCCACTGCGATATTTACAGTCATTCTTGGGGTTAGAGCCAGTGCTTCTACGAAATTGCGTAAGTATAAAGCCAGTTGAAATCGATCTCAAGTTAGAGAGTAAGACTTATTACCAATAACCTTTTAGTTAAGAGATATCAGTATAGATCACGTAGAAGTATATTGATATTGTGATTTTTATGAAGGAAAATAGAGGAAAAGATGGCTTGGTGACATTTCCATGGAATCCTGTGATGACTATGAATGGTTCTTGAATTAAAATTAGTTGGAAACAGAAAATCATTTGACGGCTGAAATGAAACAAAACTTGGAACTGCTTGTGACAGAAATCGCAGCTTCTGATTTTGGAGAAAAAAACTTAGAGTACTCCTTAACACAAAATTGTATCTTATGTCCTTTTTTAAACGTTAAACCCATGGAAGAATTATTGAAATTCTTAAGGCTTTTTTATGAAATAAATATGAATGACAAAAAAGTAATTCGGGATTTGAAATCGAGTTTTACCGAACTTCTGCAGCCTAAATGCCGATTGTATTCGTATAGAAAAGACTGACTAAATAAATCTCAATAAGCACTACTCAAGTAAAGCGGAGTTGTACTTGATAAACTTTCCTTAAGTTACTTTCTTTACTAGTAGCAGGACAAATATCCAGTGCCTCGATCTCAGGCGAAAGATGAAATAGTCAACATATAAAAATGCAGATGACTTGATATTAGATCTTCTCAAATATAAAAATACCTACCTTCTTGCTGTGTATGGGAAATTATTTGACTGACTGGTCTGAAAAAGATTAAACTCAAATATATGAAAGCACTTATGGAATACCTTTGGGTTTTGGAATAAAGACATTGTTTACTGTTGCAGAGTCCCTATCGGTGTTGATCAAAGGGAAGTCTTGGACAAACCTACAATAGGCTGTATGAATTTACACAGTTCTAAAATAGTCTGCACTATTTTGATATTCCTTGATGTCTGGAAAGACCTCTCAATCGAGGTACTAAGGGGGGCCAGGTGACAGTCAATGATCCTAAGTGGACTGGCAACTCTTCAATATAGTATATTGGTCAATATCACCATGAATGTATCTAGCCATTGAGGATTTGTAAATCGGATCATTGAGTTATTTCGGAAAAGGATGGACAATGGAATGGCTTGAAGATACAAAGAGGGATTAGAGAAAATGATGGCAACATCCTTATTAATATAAATCAGCCTTGCTCGATTCGTATCAGTACAGATCTGCATTAATCACATCCCAAAATAGACGATTACATGGTCATTCAGGTGAGCTCTATTACTTACCTTGGCTACATAGTAAAAGAACAAGGTCAATCCGATAGTAATATGAAACTTTTTCTTTATGCCTTTCATTGGCTTTTATTTATTTAATCTATGGTAATTTGCGTATTTTCTGCTATATATCTTCTTTTAAATAGGTCGAAATCTTGAGGAAATCACAGTAGTCAATAATAAAATTGCCCCTTTTTAGTGATTGTCCATCAAAAGGTGGCCACGAAAAGAAAAGATATTAGAAACTATGTCAAATATTTGGCTTTGATAATATATAAATCATTGTACATATATCATGATCGGTTTAAGGTATTAAAAACATCAGGAATTGCTGAAGCATAAGTGAAAATTAATAAAGTGAGTCCAATTCCAGCTCTCCCTAATAGGATATATCATTAGTGGTATCATTCGAGGCCTGAACTAATAACTGTCACTATTACTAATCAAAACAATAACCCAGAGTTCACTATTATGCAAGAAAAACATAAAGAGCCTATGAAAGATATCGTTCGTTGAAAGAATGTCCAAAGTGTGATAACATTATGGGAATTGAAAAGAGGCTAGAGGCGATGAGAATGAGGAAATTTAATGAAGTAAGCTTCTCCAATAACGCCCACTTTTAGACATATAAAAAATTTAATTAGTTTTATGAATGACACAAATGATTTACACTTAAACACGGAAACTAATTAACTAGTAGTACACCAGATGAGCACTACCTATTGTGATACTTACTTTTTCCTAATGACTTAAACTAATTTATTGTTATGAGACATCTTTAACTACTATAAAATTGCATTCAGTTAAAAAATTGATACCGAGCTTTGAATTGAACCTCCTGGCGACCGAATGTCCCGTTGCCTGTAACTGTAAGGTTGGGGGAGAAGGGGGGGGGTTTGGGTGGCGTTTGGATTTATTGACAGCTTACCCTTGCTTGATTAAAATTCCTGACTTATAAAGTTATATTTATGCGCTATGAAAAACATCCTAAGATATTTAAAATAACCCTTTATAATTTTCATTTCCTTACCTTCCTTATGCTTATAACTGATTCTGTCATGATTTTGAGACCTTTGCACCTTTTTGAAAATTTTATTTGATTATGATAAGTGCATCTACTTATTACTAATTTTAAAACCAGACAAAATTAACTGTTGGAAATGCATTTACACTGCACCCCGAAAGCAACTCGTTGTGGTGGCTTGATTCGGCCTGGACCAATTATGACAGATCGTATTAACGCTGCTCACAAACCCTAAAAGTTGTGCACAGTATGCTATGGTGAATTTCATTAACAAAATATACATTAAGTTAAGACATGCAGGACTGTCGTATAATTTCCACAATTTTAACAGATAGATTCTTTCTATTAGCCAGATTTAACTAATGTGATTGACCATTCCGTTCACTGGGTGTGCGAAGATGGAAATCTAGCCAGTGACTTTTGACATTGCAGACGAGCACTTATGAATGAGCTTTAATTAAATTGTCTCGTTTCGTCTACTCTGCAAACCCATCTTTTTTTAATAAACTCGATTTTCATATGTGTAGTCATCTTGTTGATAATACAATAGGAACTCACTTTAATAGTCATGATAATCGAATTTTATTGAATATGAATGACTTATTGAGTAGTTAAATATGATGAAAAGAGATTAAATTAGGCTTCCGATAACAATTCTAATGTTTATAAATATGGCGGTAAATAAATTGATTAAGGATCCTACGTACCTATTAGAGATGACAAGGCGTTTTCTTATGTTTGCGACATTTATAAAGTAACAAAGTAAGTTTCCATTATATGCGTCTGATTTTGGCGGTTTAATTTTATGTAGAAATCACGTACCGCTCGTCATCGTGCACATAGGTGCATCGTATTCAGTTCCAACTCCACCAAACTCAACTCATTAGTCACTGCTGTTGACTATATTATAACGGAGAGTTTGAATAAGCTTCGTACGATCTATTCAATATATAGGCTACTGGAAATAAAGTCAGTCAAATGGGTAACTTCGAGGTCATATTTGCCTCGATAAATTGAATATTCGATTCAACCAAAAAATGACTTGTACGTTTAAGTAGTCTTTTAGAGGCATTGAAAGATAGAACAGAACAAGAAAGATGGCGGGAGCAAACTAATATTTTAAAATGCTATAAAAGATGACATGGAAAACTAAAACACACTACGAAAGGGGGAAGTGATTGTGTCATTAGTCGAACTCAATGTTGCCATACTTCTGTGTTAGCAAACCACCACACTGAATACTGTAAGTGCAGTGACGTGAACAGCCGGTATAGTATTTCTGAAATAAGTGGGTACTGTATATGCACATTCCTCTGCGACAGCTCTCCGGGAGAATTGGGCACAGATAGAACATGCTCCAGTTTCGGGAACGTTGCTTATGATGGCAGCGAGGAAGAAGAGGGTCATCATTTGAGAAGCTATTCCCATTAGGACAGAACCCGGTGATCCATGGTGGAGAGTAGAATTTAGACAACAAATAAATTGGCTGAGGTTTCACATTAACGTAGTCAGTTAGTTCTTTCAGATGGATCACTCCATCTCCATTGTCAATTGTAATTATTGATTCATCCTTCTTCACATCTTTTTTATTTGTCACAGGAATGAATCCGCGAAGAAAACAATTTTGGTCTTCAATACGTTCCTATAATAACATGATATTTATTCGTTATTTGCATTTAAGATTAAGCACAAAATACAACAATAGTCAATTAAGAGAATTACCCGAGCAATTGGTCTTCCATACTTATTGAAACAGAGGTACGATCCATTTACTTTATTGCGCAAATATATTCCAGAATTGCCTTGCAGTGGAATCCATTCCCATTCAACTAAAAGCATTGTTATGGCCGTCGAAGTGAAAGAGAGACTTACTTAGACGACTGAAGAGAAAACGCTCAGTGGCTAATATCTCATACGAATTGTTGCTTTTGGATACATATGTTTTGGTGTCGGGATGGTAGAGCCGAAATGATGGGAAACTCACAGCCATGGGAGCATAAAGATCGTCGGACATTTCAATGCCCGAATAGTCAGCTCGGCGCTAGGGAACAAAATTGAAAAAGGGTTGTGATAACTTACCAATTCGACTTCAATGGAGTTAACGCAGCAAAACAACGAGCATATGAACACGAATAGATATCTGGATAGAAATAGAAAATGCACACATAATACAAGCAAATATGCTTGAACAAATAAAGAAATTACATAATAAGAACAGGATTAAAATAGCCCCAATGTACGATAAACTAATCAACTTACATCAATTGTCTCATGGTCAGTCACGAAGACGAAATACGTTGATGCGCAAGTGAAAAGGATTTTTAAATAGTGGTAAGAAAGATTGGTTAAGAACAACTAAAAGCACGAGGACATTTTAACAAACGCGCCAAGATCTCATATTTTTAGAAAAACGTCCAATTTAAGGAAAAAAATTATTTAAATAAAATTACAATTGAAGTTACAACTGAATTTTAAAAATTGTATGAGTTTGGTAATATTTTGATAAATCCAACCATAATGCATTTGCCATATAATTCATCAAAATAACGCAATATTGTCCACAACTATATGTTTTCCCTTAATTTAATAATTTTAATATTATATGCCATCGATTTTAGATGATTAATCTATTTAATTAAGCTCAATCATTATTGCAAGTTGAAATGCATGAAACGTAATCTAAATTCGTCGATCTACATGTGGGATTTCATCATGTAAATTGTCAGAACATTCAGCCTATTGAAATTTACCCATTTGGATCAAATTTCCACCAATTATTTCATACAGAACTGCGCAAATAAATCTCCCTACTAGCAAAAGAGTTGTTACCAGTAAGTACATCTATGTTAAATGGATTTCCTTAACCACTAGCCATGTATCGGCTACTCAAACCCGCTGCTAGGTGTATTTTGAAAGCGAAAGGTGGAAATAGGGAAAACGATAAAAATGAGCTTCATAAGAATTAGCAATAAAATTCCATTTTTGCTTGCTAATTAACTTTCCCAGCTGGTTATGCAGCGTTGGTGATCAAATCCAAACGTCAAAACATATGGTAGTGAATGACATTGGTACAAATTCACTTTGGCACAATTTGCTTTCAACTAATGTGCTTCAAGGGTGCCAAAACCCGCCAAAACTCCGGATTGAGATTAAATAAGGTTGATCATTTACAGCTGAATAGAGTAGACGGTCAAAGAACTGTGAGTTCCTATTTTATTTTTCCTTAATCATTTTGTCTTCTATCGAACCCAATGTGTCCTTTTACGTTAATCAGGCCGCACATAACAGCCTAACTGACATTAGGTGTCTAAATAGAATTAGTGTGATAAACAATCTCCTTTGCGATGTTGACAAACTACCATAGTCTTTACGAGCTAAAATGAAGGAAAATCATATCGATGGAGCTATTCTTTTGAAGAAAAATTTTGCAGGGTATTTAAATATTTTTTTGTATTGGAATGGGTTGCTATATTTCATTCAAGCGCTTTCTCTCCATTTAACCTCTCAGGATTCCAATGCCTAGTTGATTATTGTAAAGATATTTATTTATTTATAGCAAATGACAGGCTTTATGATAGTTATCATTAGCCCTTTAGTTGATTTCAGGCTTCACAGAGGGAGAGGAACATCAAATCGAAAAAGTCGAGAGTGGTGGGGGGGGGGGAACAGATGAGTGTTTTAAAGATGTAAAATAGACAGACACAAAGGTAGATGAAAGGTGAGGTGAGTACCGTGAATATTGTCGAATATGACATGCAATGGGGTGATGGTAGTTTGAAGTCAGAAGTCAATTGCCAGTTAATAGACTTTTTGCCGTATGAGTATACGTTGCCCAGGGTGCACCACGTGGAGGTAAGTCTATTGCGCACCCAGATCAATATCTAAAACAAAGTTTAAAGCCACAAAGTTGCTCACTTTGAGCAATTCTTGGAAGGTGATTGCAATCAGTTAAAGGATCTTCGAAAAAAATGTTCGCGCACATGTAACCAGAAGGCTTTCTAGCGTATTTTTTTGTCTGACTGCAATTTAGTAAATGTTGGAGCTCTTCTCTCATGTAAGTCGACCGATCTTGTGAACAGATAGACGATAGCGGCAGAAACTGATCCTTGTATCGTTGCAATAACTCAGGGAGTCCTACTTTGCCAGATCCTTTGGTGCCTACTAACTCACCACATTTGCTGACAAAGATTTTGGTGGCTATTAGAAAGAAGTCCCTTTTTGGTGTGTGGTTTCGTGAAGGAAAGCTGGCATCTATCTTTTTATATACTTCATAATTGTGCATTTGGGGTGCGTGATAGACTTACCTCCACGTGGTGCACCCTGGGCAACGTATACTCATACGGCAAAAA